TAAATGTGGACCTCCGAGAAGATGTCCAAAGGTAATTTTCTTGTCTACACCAGGTGGTGCTTTGAAGCGGTGGTCAGCCTCTGAAATCCCCCATAGCTGTCAGTGGCTGTTGAGACCGAGAACTGCATTTCTGGGTCTGATGTTGCCATGGATGGTCAGCTCCCCATCTACCTTCATGGGCCTGGAGGGCCTTCACGGGAGGCCACATGGGGAGAAGGACCAGTGATTTCTCATGCGGCTCTGCCCCTTCCATGACAGAAATTCTGATTTTACCTAACTTATACAGTGGAACACTATGTAAAAATTTCATGTTTAAAAAATGTGTTCTGCTTAAAATTTTTTAACACACTAACCTATGATATCTGAGAGAAGAGATTGGTAGGCTATATAGAAGTTTCAGAGCATTGAATCTAAATTGAGCTGTCCCACTTACTCCGTGACTTTGTATAAGCTCCTTATATCCGAGCGTCTATTCCTTCATCTGTAAAAGTGGGGGTACCTGTGATACTTCTCAGCACACTAGTTCAGTTCTTGTTCCCCTTCCTTTGAGAATAGATGGGAGGGCAGAAGGCCTTATGTCAGCGGTTCTCAACCTGTGGGTCTCGACCCCTTTGGGGGTTGAATGACCCTTTCACAGGGGTCGCCTAAGACCATCGGAAAACACATCTATAATTACATTACGATTCATAACAGTAGCAAAATTACAGTTATGAAGTAGCAACGAAAATAATTTTATGGTTGGGGGTCACTACAACATGAGGAACTGTATTAAAGGGTTGCGGCATTAGGAAGGTTGAGAACCACTGCCTAATGTATTACCAGCTAAGAGGAAGAAATGTTAAAATGAGACAGCTGTGAAAGAACTACAGGTACTAATTTATCATCATGTGTGCGTATGTGTGTGATTCCTTACTTTTCCATGACCTGAGACTGTGTGTTCATTTGTAGGGACAGGAATAACTGAAGTCAGAGAAACTGTTCCTCTCATAGCCAGGTTTGAGGGACAGGACTGCTGCCAAGGGCGACCGAGGGCAGCCCCAAAAGAAGCAGGAATTGGGCCACGTGCCTGGGACTAAAGTCAGGAAGGACAGAGCCCTGGGACTAGCCCAGATCAGGACCATCTGGGCCTGGCAGGAGCCCTGGTTCACTGCCCACCTCAGCCCAGCACCAGGTAAAGGTAATGAGCCTCAGGCTCTTCAGGCAGCAGCTCGGCGATTAAAGTATCCCCATTTATACAGAAATTCAGATTTAGTAGGTACCTCAGCTGCCTCAGAGCACCTGATAGCCATATCTTATGCCAATTCAGAGTCTAACAGTGTAGTTCTTAGTATTTCCTTTTATCTTACTGGAATTTTGTTAGCTTTTCATTTTATAACCTTTCTTTTACATTGTGATGAGATAAACCTGAACATTTGGGTATTAGAAGAAAGTTTTGCCCCTGGCTGGGTAGCTTAGTTGGTTAGAGAATCGTCTAAGTTGTAAGTCCAATCCCTGGTCAGAGCACATAAAAAAATCAACCAATGAATGCACAAATAAGTGGAACAATGGATTGACATTTCTCTCTCTCTCTCTCAAAAAAAAAAATCAATTTAAAAGATAGGGTTTGGGTTTTTGTTCTGGTAACTGTAACCCCCTCTACGCCCCCCCCCCCCCCCCGCAAAAAAAAAAACCTGAGTTTAAGGCAACTGGCTTCTTCAGCTTCTTTCTTGTCCTCAACTCTGAAGATAGGAACAAAGAACCCTAGCTAGTTGGCTCAGTGGACAGAGCATTGGCCCACAAACTGAAGGGTCCTGGTTTCAATTCCTGTCAAGGGCATGCACCTTGGTTGCAGGCTCGATCCTCGACCCTGCTTGGGGCACATGCAGGAGGCAACCAACCGAGGTGTCTCTCACATCGATGTTTCTGTCTCTCCTCCTCCCTTCCACTCTCTCTAAAAATCAATAGAAAAATATCATTGGGTGAGGATTAACCAAAAAAAAAGGAACGAAGAGTCCAGGAAGGAGGCTGTGGGGTGATGTGGGAGCAGGCCTTAGAGAGGGGATTAAGAAACCAAGATGAGGGAAAGAACATGGGTAGGAGAGAAAGATGAGTACAGACTGAAATTCCTGTCTCGAACCAGAACTGTTAAAGGCATGCCCTTTGGGAAAAACTAAATGTAACAAGTATAAAATCACAGCTTCCAGGCCATCAGCAGTGCTGGTTTTGGGGTGTAATTTTGCTTCAGGAAATCAGTAAGACTAGCGCTAGGGGGAAATAAAGCAAGCTGCACAGGTCCTTTGATTGCACGGTCCAAGGGCAGAGGATACAGTTAGGATTCTCTTTAATGTCCAGTTCTTAAAGTAGACACTTACTAAATGTTTATTGAATGAAAGTTGTCTGCTCCTACTCAGAAGCCACCAGTCTTTATATAAACCCCTTAACTGAGCACACAACTTGGTAATAATATTCCTCATGCAAGCATTGAGAAAGTGAGAAGACCCAACCTTGATGAGATCTCCACCCACCCAACCCCCAATGCAGCCTCCACAAATTTAATCCTAGGAAACAAGTGAATCTTAAATTTTCCCAGAGAAAATTATAAAAGGAAAAGTTTTAAGTGATTAGAGTGTCTCTCACATTAGCTCCCCACGACTCAGTGCCTCCTAAGGGGTGGAGGGTGGGGGAAATGAAATTCACTGCTCACCTTTTATAAACAACACAAGACTATCATCCTTGGGATAAGGAAACTCAACAGCTCTTTGCTTGGGGACAGTTCCCCAACTGCAGTGCAGCAATGGGATCCCAGCAGAGCAGCTGAGCCCCACTGAACAGAGGAGTACAGACCAGAGTCCGGGGCACTGGAAGTGGCTGGGATTTCCAAAGAAGGGCACCAGAGTGGAGGCAGTTATGCAGGGAGAAGCTGCAGAAATCTCTTAAGTGAATCCACCCAGTTCATGTAGAGCAGCGGTTCTCAACCTGTGGGTTGCGACCCCCTTTGGGGTGGAACGACCCTTTCCCCCTTAGGGGTCGCCTAAGACCATCGGAAAACACATATATAATTACATATTGTTTTTGTGATTAATCACTATGCTTTAATTATGTTCAATCTGTAACAATGAAATTGGGGGTCACCACAACATGAGGAACTGTATTAAAGGGTCGCGGCATTAGGAAGGTTGAGAATCACTGATGTAGAGCAACATTACCCAAAGCTTACCAGGGAGTGGCTGCTAATAGGACTACCAGAGGTGGCCGTGCTGGGGGACATCAAAGATTCAGCTCAGCAAAAGTGAACAGACCTGCTTCAGCACCTTAAGCATCCAGCTGAGATACAAACTACTCTGGGAATTCATCCAAAAAAGGGTATCCCTCAGAAGTAAAAACTCTACGGTATGAACTATTTTTGACAGGTGCAGACAAAGCCTAAAATCCAGCCTGACCAGGTAGGCAGAAGAGTTTGTAGACAGAGTCCCAACAAGGTGACCAGGCCTTTTAAAACACATTGCGCTTACCATGGTCCATCCTAACAAAGCATAGAAGCAAAGGTGTGCAAGTTCAAAGCGATCAGCCATGTAGAAATCCTTGCTAGAACAAGAATACGTTTCAAAGGAAGATAACATATCTAGAGCATCTAAAACATCAAAAGCATCAAATACGTAATACAAATGATTACACGTGTAAAGAAAGAGGAAACTGAGACCCATCGTGAGGGAGGAAAAACATAATCGATACACACTGAGCCTGAGACGGCCCCAGTGCTAGATAAAGATGATAAAGCAGCCTTAATGGTTCTTCATTCTATGAGCAGCGGTTGGCTTCATGTCGGTTCCAGTTGCCGGTTGGTTTGGTTTCCCCCAAGTTCCCAGAAGCAGCCTTGTTGTGCCATCAGAAATTCAAGGACCAGCTGGCTGGCATGCTCTCCCCGGAGGTCTGAGTCCCAGCTCTATGGATCTGCTGAGCTATTCTCTCGGATGAAATCTTTTCTGAATTCCTGATGTAACAGCACCAGTTAGGTTGTGCCCCCTTCTCAGAGGTTTATTTATCAGCTGTGGGTAGGCCCTTCCTCCAAACCCCACAGGCACCGGTGACCAAAACCCTCAGATGTCTGGATCCAATCTCTGTAAGGCCTCTCTCTCAAGATTCTAAATCCCATCCATCCCAACTCTTTTCTTTGTCCCCACAGCCCTGAGGGAGGAAACTGCTTCCTGTGATAGTTTCCTTTCGAATTTTATAGTATAAAGACATAGTTATAGCCCTGGGTGGCGTGGCTCAGTGGGTGAGCATTGACCTCTGAACCAGGAGGTCAAGGTTCGATTCCCGTCAATGTATATGCCCAGGTTGTAGGCTCAATCCCCAGTGTCGGGCGTGCTGATCAATGATTCTCTCTCATCACTGATGTTTCTATCTCTCGCCCTCTCCCTTCCTCTCTGAAATCAATAAAAATATATTTAAAAATATGTAGTTATAAATTATACCAGTTCTTTTAATATCAGATATGCTACATTACACTGTTTTAATTTTTCTTTTGTCTCATGCTTACATCTTCAGATATTTTTAGTAAGGGCTTAATGATAAATATGTATCAATACTTATGAAATAAACAAGACCTAAAATAATTCTCTATCATCCTTACATTTGTTTCACTTTATCTTATGAAGATATTGAGAAATGGAAAACTCCCATATCCCTCATGATTTGGGGAGAATTTCCTTGCCTATAAAATACAATTCACAGAGTTATAATAGATATCTAACAAAGCATTTCTGTGAAGCACTTAGTAAACATAAGTGCTATATAAATTTGTTTTTACTACTGTGACCAACTGTGACTAGACAGTAGAAGGAAGAGCTAATGAAATAGGAGAGGTGAAAAGAAGAGAAACAATTGAAGAAAGTATTCTAGAGTGGTTTCTCAAAAATACACTGAAAATCAGGTTTAAAAATATAAGCATGAGCCTCTGTTTTTCTCATTCCATTCAACCTTGATCCCCAGTCTACACACCAAAGAATCATTTTCCCAACGATGCAGAAACCATTTATTAATATACAGCAAATACTGTTTATTGCAGACTTTCCAGCTGACGCATGTGAAAAAGGCACTATGAAAATTAATGAATCTAGATAATCTCTCTAAATGGATTTATGTTAAAATATACAACATTCTTACATAACATCTGTTTTATATATGTGAAATAATATAACATTTAATGACAAAAATCATGTTTCCAAAAATAACATTTGTTGAAGGTTAAGTATCTTTCTTTTCTATATCTAGAATCTTTCACAGGATTAACATACGTGTAAATTAAGTGTTTCTTATTACCAGAAAAACTTGACACAGATAAAGACATAAAATGGCCCCAATTTCCTTTTAACAACTAACATGAATATTCAGAACTGAGACCTTCATTAAGCAAAATACTGTAACTCACACCAATGCAGGCTACTTCCTGGGACATAGTTTGAATATATGTGACCTCTTTTCCACTTGTGCTTTCTCATATATAAGAACACAGAACAGATAATAAGCAGGATAGAAGCTAAATCAATATCCAAGCTATACAAGGAATTGTAAGCAATAGAGCCATGACGAAGAGAATGTCTCGGGAATGCTCCATAGGTTTATATTTGCACGTCCAAGGCCTTGTTGTATTTTTACAGTTCATTAAATGTTTTGATCTTTCAAAAAGTGTTGGCATTGAGAACTTTAAATAAATCAAAATATTCTATCACTGAGTATGTCAAACAAGAGACCCAGGTACGCAGAAGCTAGCCTAAGGTAACTCACAGGCAAATCTGGAATTGTTAGATTTCGAATCATGGGCAGTGTCTTCGTTTTGCTGCGATACATAACTTCACCACCGTCAAAAATGCCTGCCTTTACACTGAGATGAGGATGAAGTAATTAATCCAATAAAAAAAAAAATCCTCATCTTGGTTAAGAAAATATTTCCCAAGGGCAAAAAATTCAATGAGAATTTTTCAGTTTTAATAAAAATAATGGGCCCAGAAGCCAAGTCCTCTACTTACTTATGTTTGCATTGTTGTTTTTATGGCGATAAATAAAGTGTACCAGGAGATAAAACTGACATTCCCTTCATGGCTTCTTAAAACAAAGCACATTGGAATAATGCCAAAAATGTAAATGGAGTTTAAAAACAAACGAAGAAATTAGTGACTGCTTCCTTCATCAAAAGATTCCACTCCTGAATCACTGGCCGCAGCACTGATTTTTTCCTGTCGTCTTCGCATGATTTCTTGCAATTCAGAGCTGCCGCTGCTATCCTGAAAAGTAAACACGGTTCAGACAAGATGGTTACTGCTTTGTGCAGGCTGAAGGGCATCAAACAGCTCCGGGTAAAAACCCTTTGTGTTTTACTTCTAATATCTGTTAGAGGAAAAACTCAAGACTGCCCTTCATGTAAGTGATGCTTCTGGGTGTCACTATCACATTAATATATTTTTTATTTATATAGTGTCGTAGGGCATTTGCTCGCTCATCATGACTTTCATTTGAACATGATGAGGACATATCAATAATACATGTGGACAGTCCTGGCTGGTATGGTTCAGTGGTTAAAGCATCGGCCTGACAAATCTCATGTTTTATTCCTGGTCAAGGGTATGTACCTGGATTGCAGGTTTGATCACCAGCCCTGACTAGGTTGAGTGTAGGAGGCTACCAATCTATGTGTCTCTCTCACTTCAATGTTT